ATTGGATTCCAAAAAAATCGTTTTAAAAGGTTAAAATTTTGTAGAGGTCAGGAGATTGAGGCAATCGTGGATATACACTAGCCTACTCAACAGACATCACTAGAGTCACGGACTTTTTTTGCCTTTTGCTGGCAGTAGCTAGTCCCTAGCGGTAAGTATGGCCGTTTCAAAGAAAGCACCATTATGCTTTGCGCGCCTCTGTTATTGTTATGATTCTCACCAAAATACTTCTAGTATCCAAATATCACCATAAAACGAATTTCAGGTGGTTGAAAACTCTTATATTAGCATTTAAAGTGCTTAGAAAAGTGAGATGGTCAAAGATTCGAAACACACAGTTCAATTTATAAACTTTCGGTAAACTGAAAATGGCCGCCTCCAGGCCCTCGCGGCCCCCAAACATAATGGTGCACACTGGGCCTTTAAGGAGTATTGCACGAAAAGGAAACAATAACAATGGATGAGTTTCAACTCGGAAAGTGTTGCCTAATTACAGCAACTAGCATAAAGATGCTGTATCCTCTCGAGTGCTTCTTCGTCTATGTCCTTGTGAAAATTGGATATTTTGTGTGCGAACTCCTATCAACAAGTACATATCTACTTCTGACGCAAAGAGAACAAAAACATTAGATCAGGAGTACAATTATTAACTAATACTCTTTTGTGAGGTTTCTTATATTTAGGGGAATTGCACGCAAAGCAGACGTACATATCTACTTCTGACGCAAAGACAACAAAAACATTAGATCAGTTTCTTCTCGGAAAGTGTTGCCTAATTTCATCAACTAGCATAATGATGCTCTATCCTCTCGAGTACTTCCTCGTCTATGCACTTGTGACTACCGGACAGTTTACAGTCGTTGTCTCGAATGCTGCCTTCATAGGAAGTTTCAGTGACTTGTTTACGAAATTCCCTTTCCACTCTCTTCCTGAAAAAAGCATTTCCATCAAGCGAGTGCCAAATGAGATGCATTGCTCGATGAATTGCCAACGAAATGACAACTGCTTTTCGTTTAATTTTGCTGCTACCAATGATAGCGTTGGAAATTTTGTGTGCGAACTTCTATCAACAAAGCATTCTTACAAACACAAGAACTTCAAAACCAATGACAGCTTCCATCATTTTAGCTGGAAGGTAAGGGGATTTTTCAATATATTTTGTGATTTTAAAAAATTTTGATCCCCTAAAAAAGTTTCTTCGTTTCTTTCTTATAATTATATATCATTTTTGTATTATATATACTTTCYTAAAATCTGCTTTCATCACTATTTCCCTTCCTCTCAGCAATCCTATTTTCTTCAGTACTGTTCAAGTAACCATAAATAAATGTTTCTTTCTTATCAAGATTCCACAAGACTTTTGTAGTTCAAATGTCAAGAGTTTTCCGTCACTAAACAGCGACAATACCTATGACTGCCCATGTAAAGAAGGTTTTACCGGTTTGAGGTGTGAAATTGGTATGTTAATCTAGATGATTTTATATCCTTCATACTTCATACTCCATACTTCCTTTATACTTCACTCGTCAAATAGAATTTACATTTTTACGATAATCAGTTTTTCAAGTTTGACAATTATTTTTACATCGACAATAATTTACGATCCAGAAAGAGTTAGTTGTTTACATTGAATAAACTGCCACARCATCTGGAACTTTAAAACAAGTTTCGCACATTATCCCATAGAAGTACACAGTTTGACGTCAGTTACCACAATTTTTTCAATTATATTTTGTAGCTGAATGACCTTGCAAGGTGTAAACCGATGCTRAATAGGGGTCACTTAAAAATTACAAATAAAAATATTTCTAGTCCTAAATTTGTGATACGGCCACTAGAATACACCCTATTGATTGGGGAGGATGAGATAAGAGTTGTTAAGGAAACGATTTATGTCCTATTGAGACTAATTCTTCTAGTTCTTCTCTTTCTCCACCTTCCTTTTCTTGGTCTTGGTCTTCTTGTTCTTGTTCTATCTTGTTCTTCTTTTCTCTTGTGCTTCTTCTTTCTTCTTCCTCCTCTTTTTTTTCTTTTCTTCTTGATCGAAGTTTTTCGCTAGATGTTATCCAAAGTTTTGTTTTGATGATTAGATATTGATGAATGCGTCAGCAGCCCCTGTGTTAATGGAAAATGCAAAGATAAAGTGAATAGCTTTGAATGCTCCTGTCACCCTGGATATGCAGGAGTGAGATGCGAGACAGGTGGGTATTCAACTTAACACGCGACTATCAACAATACAAACAATAGTTGATGGACTGTATATATAGAACAAGCAAATAAACTGAATGCTGCGCCATAGCTTTTTACATAGAATAAACTCCCAATGGATGAAAATTCTTGATCACATATCCTCGCTCCATCTTGAAAGGTAATCGTGCCTTTGCATCGAAATATGACTGGTTACCTTACAATGAAGAGATCAGTTCTTCCACACATAACTATAAACAATACATACGTCTATATGAGCCAGGTTGCTTAAAGCACTATTATTGTTAATTCAGGGTTAACTCTATAACTCAATATCTAACTGTASCATGAAAGCAGCACTATCGCCAGTAGTCAATTGGCAGAATTCAYCTTTACTTACGGAACGTTAACCTTTCTTTAGATATCAACGAATGCCAAAGTAACCCGTGTGTCAACGGTACTTGTGAAGACAAAGTGAATTCGTACAAATGTAATTGCATACCAGGTTTCAATGGAAGAAACTGTGAAGTCGGTAAGATCATTTTGTTCAGATCGTGAGAGAAGGAGCAAAGGGCTCACCATCCCAAATCAGTTCCGAAAATTATTGTCCRTATATTAAGACACATTTTGGCGTGAAACTCTTCTTATCTCGGAACTGGGAAAACATCTCGTAACAGGGAAGAGCTTACAAACTCAATTCCGTTTATTCAATTGTTTGAATTATATTATTTTTGTTCCATTTGTATTCATTTGCTTAGAAGTCATTTCACTCTTTTGTGATGAACTGATGGTTTTCCTTTAAGATATCAACGAGTGTGCAAATAACCCTTGCAATGCAGGCCAGTGCATTGACAAAATCAATGAATATGAATGCAAATGTAATGGAACTGGGTTTACAGGAAAGAATTGCGAAACAGGTACTACCTTGTTATTGATCCATTTTTAAAAACTTTGTCAAGAGAGAATAGAATGACTAACAAATTAAAGAAACAACATATTTGCGACGTCATTGTCGGAAAATACCGCTGAATTGCAGCTCTTTGATTTATATAGATATAGACGAGTGTGCAAGCAACCCTTGTAGGAATGGATCAACTTGTTTGAACAAAGTCAATGCTTACAACTGTACTTGTGAAGTTGGATTTACGGGTAAAAACTGTGAAACTGGTAAGATATCAAACGTTTGCCTTGCGTAGCGCATAGTAAAATTAGTTAATGTTGAAGAAGCAATACACTGAGTTCTTTAAAATTTGGTTCTAAAAGGCTTTGAAATAACGAAGTATATAAAAGCAAATGTCCAAAACAAAATCTTGAAAGAAATTTCAGTTAACAGTTCTTGGAAGTTTGTGTAACATATTAAAAGATATAATGAAGTGTAGCCAAAAAATTATCCATTCGTTTGTTCCTAATAGAAGTTCAACCATGTGACAGCAACCCATGTAAAAATAATGGAACTTGCAACAATTTGTCTTCGCTGAAATACAGCTGTAACTGCAMTCAAGGRTACTATGGAATCAATTGCCAATTCCGTAAGTCGTAAATTTGGYGCATTCAGCTTACAGTCAACTCGCTATTGCGAACTCCTTCTGRASCGTAACTTAGTGTCCGCAGTAGCGAGATTCSRTAATAAATTTGGACATTTACATGTWTTTTTTTGGCGTGGATTCAGAATTTTCTGTTCGTAAATTCAAAGCGTCTGTAATAGTGGGGTGTTCGTAAGACGAGAGTTGACTGTAAAAGCAAAAGCAATAYTGCTACAAGATACTGCTGAAACTAGATTTAAGCCSTGCTTWGTGAGCCTTTCAATTCAACTTGACTTAACTATAACTTAGGCTTTCTTATTTGAAGTGTATGTGTTAGTTATGTGCAATGGGRACTGAAACGGCGCGATTTTGAAAACTAACYCTTTTAGCGATCTCTTTTACGCTGTGTTAGCCTCAAAACCATGTACTGATAAATTCTTTTAATCACTAACAGTCCGTGCAAATGCAAGAGATCTGTCAGTATAGAAGACAATAAAAATAGTTTGAATTTTTTATATCCAAATTTCTGAATATTTTGTACACAACTGAGGCTAACAAAGCGTAAAAGAGATCGGGAAACTCAACTGCAATGTTTCAATTTCAAATCATAGATATTTATTTTTCGAATGAGACAAAAATCGCGAATGATGCCCAAAAAGACTGCAAGCAACGTGGAATGCTGCTAGCAAAGATAWGGAAAGAAAGCGTAAATAACATGCTGCAGAAACTGTTCAAATCAGATTCATGGATTGGATTAAGAAGGAAAGTAGTAGGTGGTGATTGGATATGGAGCGATAATGCCAAGCTGMAAAATGATGACTACAGCAACTGGGATCAAGGTGAGCCAATTCMCGGAAATGGCTGGTGCGTTTTTATGGACTGGACTAGTGGAAAATGGAAAGCAGATAGATGTAGTATCGCTAAATATCATTTTGCATGCTTAAGGTATACTTAGTATGATTGACTTCATAAGACGATGGAAGCACCATTCACTTTATAGTATTAATGCCGTGCAATTTCTCCAGTGATAACAATCATTGTGTGAAATAAGAGAATCATTTTTCAACCGTCGGTATTTTGCTATTTTGCATGCGCACCCGATGAAATCCCGACATCGTTTTTGTTTTGTCTCATTTCTATATACTTGAAGGCATGGCGAGACATCACGTTACAGCCAATCAGTCTATGAWGGCCATCAGAGCGAACGGCGCGTGAATACGGCGAGTGAATAATTTAATGTGAAGATGAAAAACAGACTCATAAGGATTAAGTAACCGCTGTCCTTCAAATTGACAAAAAGCACAAGTTTTGAAAATTCTGCTATCGAAAGAGTTGAAGGGCGGGCACCCATCTTGTTGAACTGACACACTGTTTCTTTATGCAATTTCATATAATGCAAAATAAATGAAATCATCGCATCTTCATGAAGTATGAGAAGATCAGATCTTGCATTTATATACCGTTCTCTCTAAACACTCAATAGATTGACAAAATTAATGCAAAGGAAAATATTGCATGCTCATCAAGCTGATTGTAAAAGTTTTTATGAAAAGTTGTCGTAATATTCGTTAAAGCTAAAAATCCCTGAAAATCATTGAACCTTCATCAATGTTTATGGTTAATCAAKAAATCACAGAAAATAATTAATAAATCACAGAACATACAGTCGATCACGTGTCAATCTTGTTAATACAGTTGTAACGAACTCCAATCATCTGGAAAGTCAATACGGTTTACCATGTTTTAATCATTTCCAGAATATTTTTTGAATTTTTATTTTTTTTATATAAAATGAAAATTATTTTTGTTTTTGTTTATTTTTATTTTATTTTATTTTACCTTTTTTTAATCAAAGTGAGAAAATTAAATCGGTTTCCGCATTCATGGCATGAACAAACGCCTTTCACATGTAAGGCATGAACTTACCCTTTCTGCATGCCCGGAACAACCCAACACTTTTTCTATGCAGGGCAAAAACCAGCTTTTGGGTTAGATCCCAAACTCAATCTAAAATATAGTTATTCGTCTAAGCAGAAAGAAATATCTGCTTCTTGGGCATTAAGAATTCGTCTACAGCTATATTACCATAAAGAAATGATAGTGTGGCGTCGTGCAAGCGTCAAAGCTCGATAGTATATATCTGGGTGACCACGAAAAAAGTCGCAGCCTGCCAAGCATAGCGAAAATTTTGTATTGTAAACTGCTGTGCATGTCACAAATGCGCAAATTTCTGCTCAGTAATGACATAAGTGAGCAAGAATCAATGGTAATAATCCATACAGATTAGCATGAAATCGTCCTTATCAAGTAGATATCCATAGCATTAGTATAGAATATGGTGCAAGTTCATGCTTACAAAAAAGATTATGTTCAAAATGGAACAACCCCTTTTTCAGAAATATCTTTTTTGAAATCCTCCAAAAAGATGAAAAGATRGCGAAACAATGCCTTCCCTATTTCTATGAGGAGAAATTACAAGTTATTAACTAATACTCTTTTGTGAAGTTTCTGATATTTAGGGGAATTGCACGCAAAGCAGAAGTACATATCTACTTCTGACGCAAAGACAACAAAAACAATAATCACTCGGAAAATTTCATCAACTAGCATAATGATGCTCTATCCTCTCGAGTACTTCCTCGTYTATGTACTTGTGACTACCGGACAGTTTACAGTCGTTGTCTCGAATGCTGCCTTCATAGGAAGTTTCAGTGACTTGTTTACGAAATTCCCTTTCCACTCTCTTCCTGAAAAAAGCATTTCCATCAAGCGAGTGCCAAATGAGATGCATTGCTCGATGAATTGTCAACGAAATGACAACTGCTTTTCGTTTAATTTTGCTGCTACCAATGATAGCGTTGGAAATTTCGTGTGCGAACTACTATCAACAAAGCATTCTTACAAACACAAGAATTTCAAGACTAATGACAGCTTCCATCATTTTAGCTCKAAGGTAAAGTGTTTTTGTTTAATCTTTTTAGTTTTAATTTTAGCACTGAAATTAAGATTGCCCGAAAAATGTTTTTGTTTTCTTTCACTGTTATCTTTAAAGAGTTGATATAACTGCAAGAGAAGAGCAAAAAAAGCGGGTATCAGATAGCTCCCTTTGGAGTAGATCTAACTCAACATATTTTAATTGCACTGTTTCACTCCTCATCTAAGACCAATTTTGAACTACTTTTGGAGCTATTTTGACTTCGAGTTGATTTTAACATTTGGAGTAAGAACTAATCCCAAGTGTAGAGTAGATTTAACTCTTTACTGTAAAGTGACTCCATCCATCAGGTGGTGGGGCTATTTCAACTCCTTGAAAATAATAGTGTTCCATATTGTAAACTACTTTTAAATGTTCCTTTTCAGYATTCCTTCGTTGCGTTTATTTTCCTTACTCATGAGCTCATCTCACACTTTTAATTGAAATTCCTTTTGCGCATACAAACGTTTTATTCGAATGTACAGTACCTACCCTACTTATCCATCTCTTCCGTTTTCTCCTCTCCCATTCTTTTTTTCTCTTTTTACTACGTTTACCTTATTTTCATATCTTATATATTTTTCTAAAGCACTGTTTGAATCCTTCCTGTCAGGAGCCCTATTTACCTCGCTGAGAAAGTTTCCAACTTACTAACTGTTTCGTTTTTAGATTCCACAAGACTTTTGTAGTCCAAATGTCAAGAATTTCCCATCACCTAACAGCGACAATACCTATGACTGCCCATGTAAARACGGTTATACCGGTTTGAGGTGTGAAATTGGTACGTATGAATGTAAATCACTTCTAGGGTTGCTGGATTTGATTTGAATTTCATAGTTYCCACYTCTATCTGTSCTTTTCACTGAACTTTATTATTGATGAAAATYTAAATTTGATTATGAGTTTGTAAAAAATTTCATAGGACTTTGTCTTTACTATGGTATAACTTTGCATTTACTTAATTACTTCGAATGTTTTTCTCTATTTTTATTGAATTTTCTTTTTAATTTTGATTTGAATTTCGACTTTATTTGAAATATTCGTAATCCTTGCATTATTTATAGCATCGAGAAACAATAGTTTAGATGGGGTATATTTTAGCAGACCATATGTCATTTCTAAACAAGTTTCTCACACTATCCAATCGAAACAAAATAGTAGTAAGTCCTTAGGCATTTGTGGAGAAATTTGACGTTTCAAAATCTCGTTTGCAATAGATCTAAAATACAAATGTTTCAACGATATTCCTAGACTAAAATTTCCATTTGGAATCACCACTTGCATAAAAAGCACTGCTTCGCTGAAAGAGGAAGGGTTAAGCAAGGTTTTTTAAAGAAACAATTTATTTCTTCTTGGAAACTTAAAGTAATTATTGTCTTCCTTAGCATCTTCATCTTATTTTGCTTCTTCATCTTCTGCTTTGTCGTCTTTTTCCTCTTTTCGTTATCCTTTTCTTGATTTTTCTTGTCTTTTTTTCTCGATGTGCTCCTAGTTTATATTGATTCTTCTTTTATTTTTTTTTACATTGACCAATATCTTCCAAGACGGCTGAAATTTTCTACCCTCGCCATCAACTGATTAACTTTGAAGTGTCAAAAGTGAATCTTTTCAAAAGTGTTTTCTATGTTTAATTAGATATTGATGAATGCGCAAGCAGCCCCTGTGTTAATGGAAAATGCAGAAATAGAGTGAATCGCTATGCATGCTCCTGTCATCCTGGATATACWGGAGTKAGATGCGARACAGGTGTGTATCCAGATCAACRCGTGACAATCAAAACATTGATTTAAGAAAATAATCCATGCAKCAAGGRATACTGAATGTAATGACTATAACTGTCTTTGCATAATGACGGCACCATCATAATCATCTTTTAAAAGTACGGAATCCTTCTTTAGATATCAACGAATGCCAAAGTAATCCGTGTGTCAACGGTACTTGTGAAGACAAAGTAAATTCCTACAAATGTTATTGCATACCAGGTTTTACCGGAACGAACTGCAAAGTTGGTAAGAATCGTTGGGGCAGATACAGAGAAAGGGGAGATAGGTTGCACTCTTTCAAATTGCTACTTTTTTGTCCATTTTCTCAGTCTCCTTGCATATGTAGTCATTTGGGTAGCTTATCGTCCTCCCTCTGAATAAAGAACACGACTTACCCGGATTCATTGCATTTAGATTAACGTAAAAAATGGTTGGAACTAACGGTAAACTAGTGTGAAACGTCAATAATTTATTTCACCTACTTTTTTACAGTGTTAAATTTATCTTTTTACACAACTGTTTTTTTAGCATACGTATAGTCCTGGACTGTTCAATTTTGTTATCTTTGTTTGTTTGTTTTTTTTGTTTCGAGTTTATTTTATTCGTTAAAAATCGTGGTAGGGGAGGGGTTGGAGTGGGTGATTTGTATCCAATAAATAGAGGCTAAATCTTCGGAACAAGGAGAAAATGGGCTTTAAAACTCAAATCACACTCATTAAGTTTGTTTAAATGTTAATTTTATTTTAATTTATGCTTCTCAATTATCTTTGAGATATCAACGAGTGTGCAAATAACCCTTGCAATGCAGGACAGTGAAGAGCTTACAAACTCAATTCCGTTTATTCAATTGTTTGAATTATATTTTTGTTCAGTTTGTATTCATTTGCTTAGAAGTCATTTCACTCTTTTGTGATGAACTGATGGTTTTCCTTTAAGATATCGACGAGTGTGCAAATAACCCTTGCAATGCAGGACAGTGCATTGACAAAATCAATGAATATGAATGCAACTGTAATGGAACTGGGTTTACAGGAAAGAATTGCGACACAGGTACCGAACATTGTACATTTATAAATGTTGTCAAAGAGAATGGTGAATGAATGAATGTATTGAATATTTGATGAAACTTTTCACGTATTAGGTTCGTGTCTTAGCTATTGGAGACGAGCGAATATCARGCATCATCTAGTATTGAATGCCAATAATACCGCTTGATATGGGGGGGTCCAGCTGGTGGGTGCAGGGGGTGCGCACCTCCTCCTGAGATCTGTATCTTTCAATACTTTCATTATTTTGTATCTTCATGGTAATGATTTTTGTGGGGTGCACCCCCTACTGAGAGCCCTGCACCCCTCCCTGAGGAAAATCCTGGATCCGCCCTTGTTGATTCATGGATTCTCAGCTTGATGTAATTATTATTTTCCCTAATGATGYCAGCGTACAAACTAAGCATTATTGTTCGKTTTTTTTCAGTGAAGCAGTTTTCTTGTTTCCTCATTATTTCCCACAAATGTATTTTAGTATTTTCTAGTGTGCAAAAATCTATCTATTTAATGTTCTTGCAAGTTAATCTTTTCTGACGGAAAATAACATTAATTCTTTTCAAAATAACTTGATTTCCGTAATGTCACGGTTGAGGAAGGGGTGACCTCGGTTGACCGTTCTAAGAACAGTTATTAGCTCACGTAATTTGCGCAAATCAMGATCTTGATATACTTAAAACCACGATATGCTCTTGGTAAAAAAAACGCATGCCGCCATTTGGAAAAATACCATTGAATTTTTCTGTACTTTATTTAGATATAGACGAGTGTGCAAGMAACCCTTGTAGGAATGGATCAACTTGCTTAAATCAAGTCAATGCATACAAATGTACTTGTGAGATGGGATACACCGGTACAAACTGTGAAACTGGTGAGATATCAAAGCTATAACTACAGTCAACTCTCGCTATTWCGGACACCCCGCTAAAACGGACACCTCGATATTGCGGACAGTATATAGAGTCAACTCTCGCTATTACGGACACACCGCTACAACGGTCACCTCGATATTGCGGTCAATATATACAGTCAGTTCTCACTATTACGGACACCCCGCTACAACGGTCACCTCGATATTGCGGTCAATATATACAGTCAGTTCTCACTATTACGGACACCCCGCTACAACGGTCACCTCGATATTGCGGTCAATATATACAGTCAGTTCTCACTATTACGGACACCCCGCTACAACGGTCACCTCGATATTGCGGTCAATATATACAGTCAGTTCTCACTATTACGGACACCCCGCTACAACGGTCACCTCGATATTGCGGTCAATATATACA